TATACAAAGCATTTTTTTGATAATTTTTTAACTTTTACACTTTATTCCTTCTTTTCTCTTTTTTGGTCGACGTTAAGAGTTGCAGTTTTTAGCCAGGATTGTCATCCAGACAGTTCTGTAAATCTTCTCAGTTTTCTTAAATAAACATTTGTGTCAATGAAAAGATGAAAAAAAAAAAAGAAGAATCGAAAAGTCATAACAATAGGGTTAACTGAGAGTTTTTTTTGTTGTTGTTAAGAAAAGACGATAAAAATTTAAAGGAGAAAAAAATATCAGATGTTTTTAAAAATGATTTCTTTTCTTGTGCATCAGGATTTTTAATGCTTAGTTGTCTTCTGTTAACCTTCTTAATATGGTGTCTTTAGGTGTAAAAAATATTTATAAATTTAGTGTATGCTTTTTCTTTTTGGTTGATCTAAACAAATATATATGCTTGCCGTTTTACACTTGTTTTCTTCTTTTTTTTTCTATATTTACCTGAAGTATTGTAATTTGATAAATCAAATATTTGATAAAAATTTGTTGTGTAATAACAATAAATACTCTATAATTTATAGCATTGATTAAAATGAATATTAAAGCCTCTTTTTCTTGAGCAAAAAGGAAGAAAGAGTTAAGGAGGAGGGATAAGAAAGGGGTAGGGGAAGGAAAGGAAAGAAGGACACTGATGTCTCGGTTTTATACGGTGTTTCGTTTTTTTTTTCGGCATTAAATTCTAATGAAGTTGACGTATAACTACTAATGTTGTTGGAAAATTGTTGATTAAAATGGAGTAAAATTTTGCTTTTGTGGTAAAATATCTGGTTTCTTTTTTTTTTTTCCTGGTACATTTGCTTCGCGTATCTTACGTATTGTTCGGGTTAACGAATAATATTCAGTAAATAAACTGTATGTTCTTCTTCTTTTAGTGTTTATGACACCATCAAAAAGACGGAGCTTGTTCTCCTTTTTTACAAAGGTTAGACATTGAATTTTAATATATATATTTTTTTTCGTTATTTATTTATAATTTGTCTACTGATTGTTCGTTGTTGCTGTTGTGACTACCGATGTTGCCAACGAGGTGAAGCATTTTGTAATCAGATTGGTTGGTGGTAATTTTGCAGGGAATTTTGGATTATATTTTTTGCTATTATAACTGTAATTATATTATAACTTTTAAGCGACATTTTAAAACTTTATCTTACTGTTTGACATTTGATAACTGACAACTGACAACTGGAAAAATCAGATGTGGTTTAATTAATTGGTGAAAAATATGTTATAAACTTTTTTATCGTTCCTAAAAAACGTTGATGGAAAATTTAATGCCATAGTAAAGGTGATTAATTTAAAGTTGTTTCTCTTTTTATTTTGATTGAGTTATTTGTAATCTCGTAAATCTTTTTCTGTTAATCGAACTGTTTCCTCATAAATGTGTGTGCGCGCTATGAGAGAAACGCAGAAAAAGGGTATTAAAAGTTTCTTTTTTCTTAGTGTTTTTGGAAATCGTTAAATTGTAACAATTTTTGATATATACAGTCAAACATTGATCGCCTACAATCGAAACAAAAAAAACATTTATATTGTCAAAGAATGAGGAAAATTTTTTGCTTATATTAGGAAAAATCCAGTGAGGAAGAAAGATGATAAAATTGAAATTACATTTTTTAACAATATTTGAAATAAATTTTGTAAAAGCGACAGAGATTATTGTCAAATTTGGCAATGTATAAAGGAGCAATTAATTCAGTCATCTGTTTCACATTGTTTACTCGTATTATAATACTCGTCTAGTCTAGTGGAAACTTTATTAATGGTGTATCAATTTCAAACTTCCATATATTCTTGTCGACTTTACTTATTATTAAACTAATCGAATGATGCCTTATTGACTATA